ATCACCGCACACAAACTGGTCACCGCACACAACCACTGGTCAACAGCGGCGCCCTCACACACGCCCAATCGCAACCGCCACAGCACCCACCCACACACACCCTAAAACACACAAACTAACCAGCCACAGAAAACTGAACCCAAACCGCCGACGTTCGCCACCTGCCATGACACATACAGACAGATCCGCCCACCACAGTCCCCACACACACAGAGATCGCCGCACACTCACAAATCCGCCGCACGCAGGCAACCGCACCTCCACCCACACCGCAAATACACAGCACCACAACAGATTTTACCAATAAGATGAAAATCCACAACAAATCCACCAAATTCACGAGCATGTGGGCTATGGCCTGCCGGACGAAGAGGAGAAGACGGACGAGGAAAGAGAGAGGGAAACAGACGAAGAGAAATGACGGACGGGAAAGAGAGAGGGAATGAATTTAGGTATGATTTGGGTTGAATTAATTGGGATAAAGATGGCTGCCAGTGAGGAATGCGTAGAACACAGGGAGTGAGAGGAAGAAGACGGCGGTTAGAGTGAAATGAATTAGGTATTTATTGGAATAAAATTAATTTGGATGAAAATTTATAATTAATATTTAATAAAATATGAAAAACCTGATTTTTGGAAAGNTTGAGTGAAATGAATTAGGTTTTCATTGGAATTAAATTAATTTGGATGAAAATTTATAATTAATATTTAATAAAATATGAAAAACCTGATTTTTGGAAAATTAAATTTGTAATCTGATTTGTGAAAATGGTTTTTTAAAAGCAGGGGTAAGTGTAATTTCCTCAATTTGTAGGCCGACTCGAAACTTGTTCGGAACCCGTAGTGGACAGACTTTTTTTCACGAGGACCGTCACCTGTCTCATATGTTGGCGGGCTGACTCGACCCAACCCAAACCACCGGATTGTAATGTCAACCAGTCCAGCGTAGCATGATTACTTGAAATTTTGGCTGATTTAGCTCTTTCTCCTACCATCCTTTAAGAAGTGGCCCCACCGGATTGGGCGGAGAATGAGCCCTCAGTCGCCATACTCACGGCTGAGTAGCCTGATTGCCTCTCTTTCTCCCTACTTGGTAATCAGTGTATCCTTTTTACATTTTTTCATTTTTTCCTTAAAAATTTTGAAATCATATTCTACAGGAGCTTGCCCCGGAATCTTTAACTAAGGAAATTGAGAATCATCTTTTAATCGCTCTTTCTCAGGTACGCCATATGAATTTCCCAATTTTCGTTTTTTTTCCTGAAATATAATTTTTTACTTTTTATCTTCAAATTTCAGATTTTTGTACAAGTGAAGCAGTGGACACATGAATTTGATTCCGATTCCGATTCCCATTCCCATTCTGAAGAGGTCAACACACCTCTTCATATAAGTGTATTGAACTCTCTTGCATTCTTTAACGTATTTTTATCATCTTCTTGTGCCTTATTACTAGCGGGAATTTGTTAGCAGGATTCGATGGCAATGCCTGCTGATAACAGTGCATGTTCAGATGTTTCAACTTCGTATTCGGACAATGGCAGTTGTTTGGCCATGGTTGACTTAGTAAGTTTTCAAAATTGCATGTTAAGATCTTTCCCCCTATTGTGGTAAAATTCATAGATGGATCACTTTATGAACTGAATTCATCTAAAAAGAAGGGAAAATGACCTTGAATTTATTTATTTTCATTAAGATAATCATTCATTGTTGTCATTGTGTTTATAATTTGGTTCTCAAGTTATGATATTTAAAACTCATGATTTAGATAATGAGTTTATATTCACAATTGGATGCAAATTTCAGTGGGCATGTTGAAGTGTATGCTTAAACTGTAATAGGTCACAAGCCTCTTGTTTTGTGCTAATTCGTAATAAGTTGAAAGCAAATATCAACCCATTATCTCTATTTCTTAAGAACTTAAATGTGAAATATGCCTTCAACCAACAATTGAACTAGAACTTGAGCTGTGAAACGTTGGAAAGAAAAAAAATTGTTGATCACCTCTTCCTTTTTATATATAACTGTATTGTTTCTTTTTAAATTTATTCAGATGTTGAAACAGGTTTACCTGAATGATTACACCCAGAATTCTAGTTATTTCAATCTTTAAGTTCTGAGCCTGAGTTTACATGTAATGAGTGAAGCTCAATATGATGATGAACTCACTCAAAATCAATACCAAATTAAAGATCAGGGTCCAAGGGAGCTGCAATCCTAGCTCAATTTCAGAAATAATCACGAATTGGAAAATGGGTGGGACAGAAATATAAGTAGAAAAGGAAAAGATAGAAGAAGTTGTAGAAACAGCGGAGAGAAATCCAGAAGGGAAGATAGAATAACAGAATTTGGTTTTTTACATCAACATACTGATTCCACTCACTCGTCTGGTGTGTATATTTGTTGTAAAAATTAAAGAAAATCGCATTCCAATTACAAGAAACTTAATAGGCAAAATAGTGCTTAAATGCCAGACGCTCTATTTCCTTTTGAAAAATAGTTACGGTTGGTTCTCTTCTTCATTTTCCCCCACTTCTTCCACTGAGTTGTTGCCTCCTCATCATGACAACCCTCCTCCTTATCTAAACCATGTCCCCAAGGTTTAAAATTAGAATACTTCTTCTGATTGTCCTCTGAATCTTCCCAAGTAGCCTCTTCTGTGGTGTGCCCCGTCCATTTGATTAGCCACTGAGTTCCTGCATGATTTCCCAATTTCCTCTTTTGAAAATTTTGGTTTGAAGCACTTCCTCTGGTTGTTTCACCACCTCCTCTCCAGATGGTAATTGCTCTACAACCACTGCCCTGCTTCCTATCTTCCGCTTTGAGTAGCGATACATAAAATTGAGGTTGAATTTTTGCTTGGTTGGGAAGTGCCAGTATGTCTGCTACATTTCCAATCTTCTTTTCAATCTGATAGAGGCCATGGTATCTAGGACTTGACTTCTGATCAATCCTCCTGGCAAGGGACTGCTGCTGATATAAATGTAACTTTAGATATACCCAATCGCTTTCTTGGAATTGTCTCTCAATTCTGTTTCTATCAACATAAATCTTCATTTTGGCTCTTGCTTGTGCTAGGTTCTCCTTTAATGGCTGATCCATTTTATATCTCTCATGCCAGATGTCTTCCACTTTAGCAACACTTGTTTGTTGATAAGGTCCTATGGCTAACTATGGTGGTGGGATCCCATATAATGCCTCAAAAGGTGTTCTCTTAATGGATGAATGGTAATTGGTACTGTACCACTATTCAGCTAAAGATATCCATTTAGACCATGTCTTAGGTTTGTGGTGTGTCATGCATTTGAGATAAAACTAAAGGCACTGATTCAACCTCTCAGTCTGGCCATCTGTTTGTGGGTGGTAAGCTGAGCTGAGCTGTAAATTAGATCCCATGAGCTTAAACAACTCCTGCTGAAAGGTACTAGTAAAAATCTTGTCCGTATCAAAGATAATACTCTAAGACATGCCATGGAGCTCATAAATG